CTTATTGGCGGTTCGTGTGTTTGGTGTTCTGCAGTAGCTGTGCCTGCATCTCTGGAAAGGGGGCCGATCGCCTAAACGTTTTTTACCCCTTTTGTGCAAAACGGTCCGTTACAGTACCCTTCTTTCTCCTTGTCTATCACCTTCATATTGCTCTCTCTGTGGACACTCACTCTTCCAATGTCCCTCCTTTCTACAATACGCACATTGATTCCTACTTAAAGATCCCTTACTCAGTGTGGCAAACCCTGCCACTGGAACTGATCATTCTGTGTGAATGAGGGACTTTCACCAAGGGAATAACTAACCGAATGGACTTTCCTGTTATATTGCTGTTTTTAGGCGAATGACCGAAACTACCGAACGGGAGACCACCCCGGGGTGGTCGTGTGTTTCCAATTAGCTGAACGATACAATGTTGCGAGGGAATTAAGTGCCTGTATGTGTGGCCGCCATTTCGCATACCGAACATGTGGCGGCGGCCATCTTACGCACGAACAGCGGTACTTGGTTGTTGAACGCCTGGAACTCAAACCGGGCATTCGACTAACCAAGTACTGTTGAGACCTCCAGCATGCTCCGACAGCACGAATCAAACACACGAAGCCCCGGCGTTCGGTAGATAGATTCCCCTAAACGAGGGGATTCATGCGAAGGCTTGCAATCGCATGGATGGCTAGGTTATTCGGTATTTTTAATTCACTGAAATAGACAGACTGCAGAATTCATGGAACTGTTTTCGGCTACTGAGTCCCTGCGGTCGGTCAAAACTTTAACTGTTTGTAACTCCCGAACCCCTGGTCCGATCTGGGTGAACTTCGAGTATGTTGCTCACCCAGATCAGGTCTACCAGGTGACCCCTTATTACCCTGTACCCCCTATATTTAGGGGACATCTAGAAAGTGGGGAAAACTCTGTCCCCACTAATCTGTTTAAGGGCTAATCTAAGGGGAGGAGAGGGAGGGGAGGTGACCAGGTTACAATTGGCTACTGTAATAATTATGAAAGTTACCTCCCTTGCATGGGAGAAATGCATAAAAGCAGACTTGTGATTAAAGCTATCAGTTGACTCCCAGACTATGTGTCGTCTAGTCCTTGGGGAGGTGGATTATGCTGTGTTCCTGTGATTTTGTATGCTGAATCTTTGTTCCCAGCAGAGAGCCATTGGATTAACCCCTGCTCCTCCGCTACACTCAGCCTATTCTCGACTCCTTTATTCACTTCCCTTCCCTGTCTTTCTACACTTGTGATAGCTACCGCTAGCATATCTGCCTTCTTCCTCATTTTACGTTCCTCCTCATGCTGTCTCAGTTTCCCTATTCATATACACCTTATTTGCAAGCTCCATTAGCTGTGATATGGATATCCCTGCAAATCCCTCTAATTTCTGTAATTTCCTTTTAATATCACCTTGGGCCTGGCTGACAAATGCTAAATTAATCATCCTAGAATTCTCAGGAGCCTCTGGATTAAAAGGAGTATACAACCTATATGACTCCAATAATCTCTCATAAAAGGTACTAGGTGACTCATCAACCTTTTGCAACACCTCAACCGTCTTTGACATATTAATTGCCTTCTTCCCTCCTTCCTTCATGCCAACAATTATGGCTTCCTGATAAGCCCTTAGTTGGGGCATGTCAGTGCCATTTACGTTCCAAAGGTCAGTAATAATTTCTGACAATCAGCCCAGGTGGGATTGTGTGTTTGTATAATAGAGGTAACCAGATCTGTCATGACTTGAGGTTTGTCGGTATACGAAGAGTTATGAGTCTTCCAATTGAATAGATCAGTTGTGGTGAAGGGGACATAGACAAACACTGGATCTGCCCATTGTATTTGGCCATTTCCATCAATGTGTGTTGGGCCCGGTGTAAGTCGGAGAGGCATCTGGCAATGTCGGGATGGAAGTTGCCAGTCAATTGTCGGGTTAGTATGGGGCTTCGGCAAGGCTGCTCAGTAATAGGTTCCAGTCTGAGAGTAGTAAGATAGGTTGAAGGGGGTGAGCTAATTTTACTAGTCAGTTTCTGGTACAGAAATACAATAGTTTGAAACAAAAGAACAGATAGGTATGTGGGTAGGCGGGGACAATAGAGCAGGTGGAGTGCAAATACCAGCTATACCAGTTTTAGATTGGGAGGAAGAGTAGGGGGAAGGGCTACTCTGGCTCTGGAGGATGAATAAGGGGGTTGGTAATCAGATGCAAGGGGGGAGGTGTCCAAAGCAGTTATAATTAAGGCCTTAGTGGACAAACAGGTTCTGGCTACCATGGACTCCATTGTTCCTCTTAGCACAGCTTGTTCCATTTAGCAGTGTTTCAACAATCTGTATACAGAAACTACTCGTATAGCCCCAGCATATTATTTATAACAATGTAAACCTGCTGCTGTATTAAATCTGGGTCAAGGATCCACAGGAACACTGGTTACCAGAACAGGCCGTCCTCTGCTACACAGAGTATTTTAATCTTTTGGGGGACAGTGTTACAACATATTCCTTAGAAAAGTTTTTTTTTGACACATACAAGACAAAGAACTGTTTGTGAATCAGAAGCACCCATGATTTCAACAGAGCGTCTGATTCAAAGCAGTACAAATATACAAACCGTTTCAACAGTCACACCAGTTACCTTAGCAACAGCACCACATGGTACAGTTACTAGGCCAAACACACACCAAAAACACGAGGAGAATTCTCATACACACACAGCGCTAACACGACGTCTTCACACACGAAAATTCACCAAACACTAGATACTCATCATGTTATGGACAGATGAATTAAAATAAAATGGCTATTTACTAATGTCTATTTATTCTGTGTTCACTATGTTAAAACTGGCTGCTAGAGTAAATATTCCCTTCGCCCCCTACAATGTGTTCAGTTGCTGTTTACTATGTAAATTCTTCATCCTGATAAGCATCCCCCTTCAAATCAAGCAAACCTTGTGTAAACAAAATTCCTGTGTTAACAGCTCCCTTTACTAACTCCTCCCCCACTACCTTTGTGCCAGTTAACAGCTATATGCCACGTATAGCTGAATGGAGGATCATTGGTTTAGAACTGATAGATACCACTCACTCCCCCTCCCATCGTGTATCCAAAAGTCTGTAATGATGACACTACATTCTGTAGGGAGGTTTAAACAAGAGCCTTTGGGAGAATTCATGCAAACGGAATTGGTCTGCACTCTGGGCCTTCACTCGGCTTCCTGTGGTTAACGTCAGACAGGTATATAGTATGCCTAAGTGTCCCCTTTTACATAGAACCTGTCACTTGTCTATCTACAGCCTGAGTCCTGAGTGTGAGTTTTATGTGTGAAAGTGTCTGTTTGAGAATCTGTTTTACTTTCTTGTGATTATTTAATTCAGGGTGCAAATATACCTGGAGTTTTTAGGCCAGATTATATTTATTAATATTTTAATATTAATTCTTGGCGTTTCTTTTGTTGTTTTTCATTTAAATTCAGGTGTGCAGAATAGCCCCTGGTGGTTTAGTTTTTTGTCCGATTAAAAATAGATCGTGGCGTTTCCTTTGTTGTTTTTCATTTAAATTCAGGTGTGCAGAATAGCCCCTGGTGGTTTAGTTTTTTGTCCGATTTAAAAATAGATCGTGGCGTTTCCTTTGTTGTTTTTCATTTAAATTCAGGTGTGCAGAATAGCCCCTGGTGGTTTAGTTTTTGTCCGATTTAAAAATAGATCGTGGCGTTTCCTTTGTTGTTTTTCCTTTAAGTTCAGATGTGCAGAATAGCCCCTGGAGGTTTAGTTTTTTGTCCGATTCATATTAAAAATAGATCGTGGCGATTCTTTTGTTGTTTTAATAAAAAACAACGAACAAAGAGTGAAGTTGTTGTATATGTGCTTGAGTGTTTCTGTGTGTGATTTGATTTATTATAAGCCGGCATTTATTTTAAGAACTTTGTGATTTAATTACATCTGTATTTTGTGCTTTTGTCTGTGTATGTCTTGTTAGGTACCATATATGTTAATTGTAATCTATACAATTTGTATCGTTACTCTCCTATTCTATCTTTTGTCCTAAGGAGAGCTGTGCTTAGGCAATCACATGGTTAAAAAACTTTGTGCTTGCAAGTCTTCCTCCCTCCTCCCCCCCTCCTTCTTTGTTGCTTTGGTGAATGGGTGAAATGCTTGTAAACTCAGTGAGGAATGTGAGGGAAACAAGGTATATTTGCTGGACGAATAACCTAGTTAGGAACTTTGTGTAATCTTGTATATGTTGTTAAGTAAGAGGTTATTGGCATGTTGGAATAAGGAAAGTTAGATTTTGTTGGAACAAATGAATTGTGGAATTTATAAATGATATTGCAGAGAAAAGTAAATTGCAGTTTGCATATAATAGCAGCTATTCAGATGCTGTATTGTGGCAATCTTTATACACACAATGTGAAATTGCCAATAGTGAAATTGACAAGAAATTGTTTGTTAATAAGAAAAAACAAAAGATCAGAAATGTTATGAAACTAGTCTGTACTTACAGTGCATTGATTTGTAAACGTAATGCAGGTCAAGACAATTTAGAATCATCAGAAAAAGAAGTAGATTTGAATGGGTTAACAGAAGACAAATCAGATTTAAATGAACAGTGTAACAATGTAACAGAGAGCACATGCTGTAAACAGTCAGAAACAGTCTGTGAATTAGAGGATAGAGTTGAACTAAGAAATGATCTTATTTGCCAGCTTAGAAATGAAGTTAAGCAAGTGTGTGTTAATACAAGAAAAATACAGACACAGAATCTAATCCCAGAACCAATAGATACTGAAAATGTATCCTCACAGAGTGATTTGCAGAAATATAAATTTCAAGACAGAGCTGCAAAACTTAATTTGAAAATACATGAACAATTAATGAAAATTGTGAAATGTATTCCAGTTTATGACACGTCAGTGGATGCATTTACTAATGCTGGAATGTTTGAGTCAAATGTGGACAAATACAGCCTAAATGACGAACAAAGGAATAGATTGTTTAAAATATGGCTGTAGACTGACCACGCTTGTAAAATTTCAGGACAATGATAAAATAATATATGGAAATTAGGAGACAGACAAGCAATGCAGCGTAACACAGAAAGTTATAAGAATCAGATAACTTCAAGAGATATGATCAGTTTAGGGAATGAGCATGGATATGTCTGCCAACAGATGTACACAGGCTGATTCCAGAATTAAGAACAGCACAAGAATAGAGATCTATGTTAGTTTGTTGTTTTAAATGAATTGTTAGTCTGTACTGTCTTTCATTGTTTTTATATGTGTTATAAGAAAGTATTAGGTTAATTAAAATAAAAATTTAAATCAAGTTTGCACATATGGCAGAATGAAATACACTAATGTAGCAGTGAGGAACATGCAATGTTATATTGGGTGTATGCAATTATATAGTAACTCCAATCATTTTACAGAAGAAAAAACAATAGATTTATTCTTTGTTGCTTCTGAGGTTGATTTAAAATCTTTGATTTAATTCATGAGAATGAGATTTTAATATCATGACTGATAATGGATTACTGTATATTGCAACGCCTGGACATACACATGGTTTGGATATACTGAAGACAAAAGGAATAATATATGGGAATGGATAAGGCTGATTTCCCCCTATCCACAGCCACGCCTACTCCTAAAGTAACATCGCGTACATCCTTACTATGCCCTTTTACTGTAGAATTTCCCGAATCCTAATGACCAATTCCACTACATGGTGTGACTTGTTTAAGCCTAAGATAAATTGGCTGATCAGGCTACCTGTATTAACAATGTCATCAACGATGAGTTAGCATCTGTGGAGAAGTATCACTTCAGGTTGTCCCAAATTTTCTTTTAACCTAAGTTTTAGTACATAGTAAGGCCCATGCCCAACAACTATATGCAGCCTTGTATAGCAGGCCACATGACATCTATTTGTACCAAGCAAGGCCTGCCTGACTCCTCATTCCTGTCTAACATTGTTGTCTCCTGCATAAGTGTAGATGGCTCTCCTTGGAGTAGCCTGTTAACTAAGCCTTGCTTTGTGGTTACTTTCACCTGTCCAATTAATCTGCTAGGTGCAGATGTCCTTCCCCCACTTGCAGGCCCCTATCACCTTATTATTTATTTTGTTCCACACAGTGAAACCTGACCAAGAGGCAAGGGTCCTAGCTAGTTCCCCCAATACCTTTACCTGAATTATACAGGCCCCAAAGCCTGTCCAAACTCTTACTATTCCCTAACAGGTTAAGGCTCTGGTGTCGAATGTTGCCCTGGTTACCTGAGACTTTCCATGCAATATCCCACCTCTCCTTGTGATGGACGAATTCTGTACAGGATAATGTCACCCTGCAGGGATGATACTCTATTTACCTGGCCACTCTTCTGCCACTTCCCAAGGGGGGAAATGATAAGACACTGACTATTTTTTTTTTTTTTTTTTGCCTTTTTCTTATGATCTGTTCCGGATTTGCTGTCACTACAGTGGACCAAGTATTTCACCTCAACAATGTCTGCACAAGAAGCTGAGCTATAGGCTCCCATCACAGCATGCAAGATCTCTGAAGGAAGACTGATCTCAGAGAAAGCATGTGGCAACTCTCTGGCTGACTAAGTTGTTCAATAAGTTGTAAGTGCACTAAGGGAAGTGGACAGAAAAGTGTCTGCTGAAGAAACTCCCATATTCACCATGTAAGATCCTACCCACAGACATCAAGCTCCCGAAGGAATAACGAGCAAGCTACTGACCCTGGAAAGAAAGAAAAAACAAACAAACCACAAGCTGGAAACAGAAAGGGACAACTCTTAAAGACAGGCTGTACTTCAACAATCTCAAGTTTTACTTGCCCAAGAACATATACTCAGCAGTGGTCCAGTGGGCCTACGGAGCATCTGTCCAGAACCCTCATGAACTCTTTTGATCAATAAATACTCTGAAGTACCAGGAATTGCCTCTCTGACCAACACTTACTGTAAATCTTGTGCCATTTGTGCCAAGGGCAACTCAAGAAGAATGGAGGAAAGCCCTAAGCATCTAGCCAAACCTCATTATCTCTTCCAGAGGAGTCAAGTCGCCAGAATGCCAAAGAATGGCTGATTCAAATATGCACTAATTATAGCAGACATGTTTTCAGGATGGCCAGAGGCCTATCCAGCCACCAAAGTGATAACCAAGACCACATGCTGAGTAGTGCACCGTGAAAGTTACAGAGATCACCCCGTGGGTTCATCATTCCAGAATCAAGCCTACCTCTGCATCATGTGAAGTAACATTTGTTGATCTTGACAACCCTTTTTGAAACTCCATTCTTAGAGAACAAAGATACTTGTTGAAAATAAATAAATAAATAAATATCAACAAGTGGGTGTTTTGATGGCCATAATAATGCCTGACCACCTGCCATCGATGGAAAGTCGAATACCCCAAAAGGGGACCTCGTGAAACTAAAGAGAAACAAACATACTCCTTACCCTGCCGCCCTCACGTCTGAGGTACCATACGCACAGTCAAAGCTTCTTCAGGATCATCTGCTTATCTTGAGTTTGTGGTGATATTAATATTGAATGTTTAAATTATCTGAATCTGTCAGTACTAGGGTAGCATGAGACAAGATTTCTAAGAATAAGTAAATGTGCCCTAGCCTAGGTTATTATGTCCAACACATGACAATCCCCAAGGTACTCTTGACACACCTCATTCATGCTTCAGGACAAAAAAGGAGTACCCCTATAAAGGGTGGTTTTACCCACACATATATATATATATATATATATATATATGTATATTAATGCCATAGGGGTGTCAAGGGGGGTACCAAATGATTTTAAGGTAAGAAACTAAGTTTGAATCTATTCTTCCAAGCATTACGGCTAATAAAATCTGAATTGGAAGGGAAGAGGTTTATACAATAAACAGGAGACCTTTTTCTTACAGGACATGTATGACTCAGCTGAATGGGTAGGTGCCACGCATATGACTGTTAATCCCCTCAAACCACACATTAGGACTTTAAAAGACATGGTAGTCATCCCATATTTGAGGATAACAGGGCTGTAGAGACAGGTTTCTCTGACACTAACTTGTGACTTGAATGGATGATAGACATAACAAGTCTAACTGCTATGTCTGCAGAGGAGCGAGGCCTCACCCAGGTACAGTATCCCTGAACCTTCCTCCGGATATGAAGTATGCGTTTTAAGTCTCTACACTGTATTTAAACCTAAGCGGTCAGCATGCGAGTCATGGAAACTTAATACCCAATCATTACTAAAAATATTATGCCCAAACGAAGGCATTACTATATATCCTGGGAACTATACTTGTTATGGGATATATGGTGGGATAGGGCGGTTACAAGCTACCTCTCAGATGACCTTCCAGAATAGAATAAGCTTAAAAATGATTTTGGCAGAAAAAGGGAGAGTATGTAAAATACTCCCAGACACCATAACATGCTGTACCTATATTCCAGATAATACAGGCCCTAATGGTAAGGTAACGTTGGCAATAGAAAAGTTAAAGAGTTTGTCCAATGAGATGAAACGAAATTCTGGGGCCGCAGATCCATGGGAAAGATGGTTTGGATGGATGTCTGGATGGCAAGGTGCTCTGGCCCAAATAGGTGTTGCCATTTTAATAACGATAATCATCCTCGCTCTTCTTGTTTGTTGTGTGTTACCCTGTCTTAAGAAATGCCTACAAAAGACAGTTGATCAGACAATCGACCAGACCACCCCGACCTTCCTTCACCAAGAGATTGACGATATCGACCGTGATACACCACATACACCCTTACAGTCCCACCGCACTAAATCAACAGCTACTTCCTCTTAAGGACATTTAGGGATAGCGTCTGTCTCTACGGGCAGAAGTAGTGGACAAGCTGCTATGGGGTACCCGCGCAGTGAAGTGTTCGAGGCCTGTTCAGACAGATGTGCAAGATAGCTGTGGCAAAACCGACCTCGCCACGTGTCCTTGGAGGGGGCTGCTTGCCCGCCTCTTGCCTTTGGACTATGGCCCTGCAGGTTAAACTGTTTATTTTCCCTGCAGAAAGGCTTATTCGTGTGATCTGAGTGCCATTCATCTAATAATGTGCAGTCAGATCCAAGCTATCTGGGGATATGTAGAAATGTGTGTTTTATGTACTAAATGTGTCAGTATGTAATTTTATGTCTTTTACTGTCTTTTTGTCTGCCATGTGGGTAATGGAGTTTGGCTCTGTCTTTGGAGATAATTAGATTCCTTCTCCAATTATCTCCAGGGCAGAAGGGAGGAAGCCAGGATGCATTGTGGGGATGTTTTACTTTTATTGTTTGAGCCAGGGGGAACAAAAGATACTTTTACTAACTTTTGAACCCCTGGTCTGATTCATGCCATTTTTTAATATGTTGTTCCCCTGAATGGATTGATTGTGAATATGTATTTTTATGCGAATGTGATGTATATTTTGGGAGTTATGAATGTTGTGTAAAAACTGTATTTTCCCTACCTATGATAATTGTATTTCCCTGTGTGTACAGATAATTAGTTTACAGGTAGAGGGGAGGGCTATGTGTGGGATGTAACTATTGTGTGATTGGTTAATGTACGTTACTGTGTGTGTCCCTCCCCTTCATGGGAGCACCTAATAAAATGGGCTGCAAGCTAGCAGCCAGAGAGTTCTATTTTTACCCTCAACTTGAGTCCTGTCTCTTATTGGGGGAATCTGCTACAAGGGATTGCTATGCTAGGCATATTCCCTTGCTATAATCACTGAGCTCTTGTAAGAGCTTGTTCCTGCTTCGTTCTGAAGGGAGATAGCTGCAGCCTGCGGTGCTTATGGTGTCTGGTGGAGTGCTTGGAGTCCTCTGGAAGCGCTAGGAGCATCTTTCAACGGAGGTACCCAGTCGGGGTGCCAGGTGATCCGTTACATTGGTGGCAAGCGGCGGGATGGCATCCTAGTGCTAGGAGAAGCAGCTCGGAGACACCGGTAACGTGTGGAGTTGTGCAGCGTCCTTATCTTCAGCAACATAATGGAACCAGCAGTGGCTACAGCAAGCATGGCGTATAGCTACTCCGTACTAGAGTTTGGCACGATGGTAGGGTTGCACCTGAAGTTTTACGGACCCAATCCAGAGGAGAAATACGTGCGGTTCGTGTGGGACATGGTGACCCGGAACCTACAACACAGGGCGCTGAGGGAAGGCCAGTGGGCACGTTGGGAGAAACTCCAGCCACAGGTAGAGTGGGACGAGGAAGAAACCGAGGTGGCCGGTGGAGATGGGACCGAGGTCTCTCTACCGGCCCTACAGGGATGCTGGGCACCCGGCCCAGATCCCCAGCGGCAGTATGTTTTACAGGGAGGGGAGACAGTCGGTCTCACTCCCCAGCGGCAGAATGTGTTATTGGAGGAAGAGACAACCGGTCTCCCTCCCCAACAGCAACCAGAGGTACCCGAGGTAGAGGACCTCATAGACTGGTCCTGGGAGGACCCCCTGCAGGCAGGTGGAGATGGGACCGAGATCTCTCCACCGGCCCTACAGGGATGCTGGGCAACCGGCCCAGATCCCCAACTAGAGCTGGAGTTACAGAAAGTGGAGAGCATCGACCTCCACCCCCAGCAGCAGCCGGAGTACCAGGGGGAGGTAAGTGATATTTCTCCTCCCCAGCCAACTCCTTTGTTCCCTGACCCCCCAGCAGAAGAGCTGGCAACTGGGCAGAGCGCCGCTGGCCTCTGTCCTCCTTTGTTTCCTTCCCCTGAGCCTGACTTTCTACAGGCTGCCCCAGCGGAAGGTGCCGTCCTTCCTCCCCAGCGGCAGTGCGTACCCCAGGGAGCTGATGGTGTCGTCCGCCCTCCCCAGCAGCAGTGTGTAACCCAGGGAGCCGAAGGTGTCGTCCTTCCTCCCCAGCGGCAGTGTGTACCCCAGGGAGCTGAAGGTGTCGTCCTTCCTCCCCAGCGGCAGTGTGTCCTGCAGGGAGCAGAGACCGTCAGTCTCACACCCCAGCAGCAGGACAAAATAATGAAAGGGGAGACAGCTGGTCCGCCTCTCCACCAGCAGAGAGAGTGTCAGGGAGAGGAGCCTGTTAACCCCTCTCCCCAGCGGCAGTTGACAGTCCAGAGAGAGGAGCTTGTTACACCCTCTCTCCAGCGGCAGCCTAACCCACCAAGGGGAGATGTTGAGCCCCGCAACTGTGCAGATGGGACCGTAGTCTCTGCGCTTACAGCCCAAGGGGTAGAGACGGTCGGTCCTGTTCCCCAGCCCCAGAGCTGTGTACCCAGAGGGGAGACGGTCGGTCTCCCCCTCCCACAACCAGGCTCCAATCAGGCTACTTCGGTGGTAGCACTGGCACCAGGGCAGAGTACCGCTGGTCTCTGCCCACTCAGCAACCCACCAAGGCAGTCTACCAGCTCCCCACACAGCCGTGGTGAGGCACCTGGACATGGACAAGTTGCTACTTTATCCAGGTGGAGTAAACATTTATTGTGGGTGGGCTGTACTGCTGTTTGTGCTTCGTGGGTGGGTTGCTGGACTAACCAGGGCACTGACCGGCAGGAGGTCAGATACCCTGTTAGTCTGGGGGGCAAAGGGGAGAGGTGTGGCAAAACCGACCTCGCCACGTGTCCTTGGAGGGGGCTGCTTGCCCGCCTCTTGCCTTTGGACTATGGCCCTGCAGGTTAAACTGTTTATTTTTCCTGCAGAAAGGCTTATTCGTGTGATCTGAGTGCCATTCATCTAATAATGTGCAGTCAGATCCAAGCTATCTGGGGATATGTAGAAATGTGTGTTTTATGTACTAAATGTGTCAGTATGTAATTTTATGTCTTTTACTGTCTTTTTGTCTGCCATGTGGGTAATGGAGTTTGGCTCTGTCTTTGGAGATAATTAGATTCCTTCTCCAATTATCTCCAGGGCAGAAGGGAGGAAGCCAGGATGCATTGTGGGGATGTTTTACTTTTACTGTTTGAGCCAGGGGGAACAAAAGATACTTTTACTAACTTTTGAACCCCTGGTCTGATTCATGCCATTTTTTAATATGTTGTTCCCCTGAATGGATTGATTGTGAATATGTATTTTTATGCGAATGTGATGTATATTTTGGGAGTTATGAATGTTGTGTAAAAACTGTATTTTCCCTACCTATGATAATTGTATTTCCCTGTGTGTACAGATAATTAGTTTACAGGTAGAGGGGAGGGCTATGTGTGGGATGTAACTATTGTGTGATTGGTTAATGTACGTTACTGTGTGTGTCCCTCCCCTTCATGGGAGCACCTAATAAAAAGGGCTGCAAGCTAGCAGCCAGAGAGTTCCTGTTTTTACCCTCAACTTGAGTCCTGTCTCTTATTGTCTCTGCTACAAGGGATTGCTATGCTAGGCATATTCCCTTGCTATAATCACTGAGCTCTTGTAAGAGCTTGTTCCTGCTTCGTTCTGAAGGGAGATAGCTGCAGCCTGCGGTGCTTATGGTGTCTGGTGGAGTGCTTGGAGTCCTCTGGAAGCGCTAGGAGCATCTTTCAACGGAGGTACCCAGTCGGGGTGCCAGGTGATCCGTTACAATAGCCTTTTGTTATTTTTCTATAGGGACAGTATTAGAATGAGAGATAGTAGTTTTAGTAAAAATTGCCATTTTAAGGGGGGACTGTTATGGACAGATGAATTAAAATAAAATGGCTATTTACTAATGTCTATTTATTCTGTGTTCACTATGTTAAAACTGGCTGCTAGAGTAAATATTCCCTCCCCCCTACAATGTGTTCAGTTGCTGTTTACTATGTAAATTCTTCATCCTGATAAGCATCCCCCTTCAAATCAAGCAAACCTTGTGTAAACAAAATTCCTGTGTTAACAGCTCCCTTTACTAACTCCTCCCCCACTACCTTTGTGCCAGTTAACAGCTATATGCCACGTATAGCTGAATGGAGGATCATTGGTTTAGAACTGATAGATACCACTCACTCCCCCTCCCATCGTGTATCCAAAAGTCTGTAATGATGACACTACATTCTGTAGGGAGGTTTAAACAAGAGGCCCCTTTCTCTGTTAACCAATTGGTGAATGTATACTGTATGTTTAAACTGTGACGTATTTTTGCTTTAAGAAGGAGCCCCCACTCCGGGGAATAAAGGATTCCTGAGTTTTTCACTGATCAGAAACTTTGTCTCCGGTGTGAATTACTTCTAGGGAAAGCGTGCACGCATTAATCAATCAATTTGGAAGGTGTAGATAGACAAATTATCAAAGTTTTCTTTGATCCAAATCAATCACTGTAACTATAAATCAAACCCTGCAACCATCCATGCAGTAAATCAACTCTCAATTACCAGACTATAACACACTCCAGTAACATCGTCTTTACAATCAGTAGTTATAGTACGGTTAGCAAGTGGTTATGGTACAGTTTTAGAATCACAGGTCGATTAGTAACAGTTATGGTGTTACACATATAACATCAAACAACAGATTGTTAGTAGTTATATACAATACACAATGTCTGTAATTATAATACATGTTAGTGGTTATGGTACCGTGCACTATTGTGACGAGACCAATCTCGCCACATTGCATTGGAGAAGCCTGGTTGCTCGCCTGCTGCCTTTGGACTATGGCCCCCTTTTAAAAGACTTTATTTTTGCCTGCAGAAAAGCTGTATTCGTGCTTTTCTGCCTGGGGTTCGGTAGATTTGTTTGAATGTGTTATACCCCAGATAGGAATCCCATGGAGCCCATTCGTATGAAACTGACTGCAAAGACTTTAGCTCCATGGCGATTAAACTGTATTCGTGTGGTCTGAGCGCCATTCACTTAATAATGTGCGCTCGGACCTGAGCTATCTGGGGATATGTTACATGTCTGTGTTTTATGTAATAAATGTGACTTTATGTATTTTAAAGTGTTTTGTGTCTTTTTGCAACCATGTGCTTAATGGAGTCTTGTGTCTGTCCTGGGAGATAATTGAATTACTTATCT